TGGAGTTTTTACGTGTTTTTACGTGTTTTGGAGTTTGTACGTGCTTCAGGGTTTGTACGTGCTTCAGGGTTCGTACGTGATTTGAAGTTTGTATGTGCTTTGTCTGTAGGGGCCACCGTAAAACACCGTAGAACATGCATATTCTCTGTCATATGGACCTGCATGAATAAACTTTCTGAATCCTTTATCATCTGCAACTGAAAATAGTTGTGGATGATTACTATACCTTTCTAATGTGACGTTGTTGTCCCTGGCTCTCTTTCTCTGTCTCTCCCTCCTGCTCGGTTCCTGTGCTACTGAGTGTAACTACTGCCCCTACCCCCTCTTCCCAGCACAAGGCTCGCATGCTGAGTGAAGCGGAAAAAAAGTAGGAGAGAGAGAGGGTGAGAGAAAGAAAAAAAAACACAGCTCGAGATAAGGAGCCGGCTCCTGTCGTTCACGTCAAAGACCCGGCTCTAAGAGCCATTTCGTTCGCGATGACCCATCACTACAAGGTAGGTCTCCCCTGCAGAATTGGTTTTCCCTTCCTTGGGAGCAGCCTGGGCTCTTCAAATCACAGACAAACAACATCCCACAATTTTTGGATTTTTAATTCACAAACACTTGTTGTAATGACTAACTACTCCTGACATTTTGGAGATGTTAGCTCTTTATACAGTAAAGTTACAGCAGGATACAAATAATATCAGGCTGATCCTGCCACGATTTGTTCCCTCGGTTCAAATCAAGGACAAACAGCATCTCACAGCTGTTTATGTTTTTGAACCCATTTTGCACAGAGAGGCATTTTTTGAAAAATGTATTGATAGCAATGTTGAATATTATTACACAGGAAAAAAACAGCTACATGTAAAACAATTACACCATGATGCCTCTGCCTTTCTAAATGAAGAAACAGTAACTGCGTGTGTATATGTAAGCATGTAAAACCTGAAGATAGTAAGATTAACAGTATTTTGTCTCTATCTGCCATTCTGCAATTCATCTCATGTAAACAATAAGGTAGCGCACAGCGTGACGTGAGAAAAGGCACATACCTTTGAGGCTGCCTGATGAACTCTGTATTCCTTGTCCACACGTAAACGCAAAAAAGGAGTTTTAAAAAATCTCCGTTTTCGGTGATTCGAAACGCCGTTTTACGTGTGGACGAAACAGCTGCGTTTTCAAAAAATACCCGTGTAGGTGTGGACTTAGCGTAAAAGAGTTAGTAGTTTATTTCATTACTACATGTCATTTTACTTGTATTTGTTTAATTGTTTACTAAATGTTTGAGGTGTGAAATAAACCGCAATGGAGCAAAATATGTGTGTGTGTGGTTGGAGGATGTGTTTGTGCGTGCATGCGCGCGCGTGGAGGGGGGGCCCAGCAAAAAAAGTTTTGGAACCACTGCTCTAGCAGATTGTTACATGGAGAAACCTTTTGAATACAAGCGCGCTGATCCACACATGTGTGCACACAGGTGTTCATTGTTCATGGACACAAACAACACCTCAAACCACACTGTGCACTGTCGACCCTGCGAGCTGCACAAAAACATTTAATTTTTAGTATTTACTGTTATTTACACTTAGCTAGATTCATGCAATGGTGTTGTGTTTATCATGTTGCTCTCTGTTTTGCTTTTTTCCTCTCTCAGCAGGTGATCCAGGATATCTTTTCTTTTTAAGTGCCCTTTCTCACCATCCCGTTCCCCTCTGTTTTTCTTTTGCTTCCTCTTTCTTTTCCCTTTCCTACCTCCCAGCCATGTCTGTCCCGTCAGTAACAACTAAAAATAAAAATAAAAAAAGAATAATAACAAAGGTTGATCAAATGGACCAATATGTCAAGGCCTTGATGATCCAC